GTATACACATACAACTCTTCTAGTTAACTGTTAATGCAAGCCATACGCTTCTGGGCCTTGTAGTACAAGCTCTGAATCTTCTGAGATCTCTGCTTTAAATTAAAAGCATAAAGGAATAAAGGTTGATAAAGGAATTGTGATACAGATCAAAGAGACTATTTACTGGAATACATATTATATACAAATTCTTTAAAAGGCACGTCAGTAATGAAAGTTAGCCCAGTGTTTTCTCATTTTCTTGCTTAAATTTCCAAACAATATTTGGTACTGGCAAGAGAAGAGAAACACCAGGTGGTGGTGTGTACTGGTAGAACACAGATGAAATCTGATTGTGTTTTACTTTTCATTCTAGCATGTTTCTCATTGCTCCTAAGGTTTTTGGTATACTTTTGTCCTGGAGTGAGATCTTGCAGTTCTTTCTTTTGTGCTGCAATTCATGAACTCCTGCCCATTCTGAACTAATTATATACTTTCCTGAGGGTGTGAGTATTTTAGGAACCTGTGCCTCCTCCCTTGAGATAACTGTGACTAATGTCATGGAGACTGACAGCTGTCTTGACAATATATTTTATTTAACAGTTGGAAAAAAAAACAAACAAACAACAACAACAAAAACAGCTAGAAGAAGGTGAATTTTAAAATAACAACATTTATGTCTCTATCATACCAGAGGTATTACGATCATGAGTGAACCTGACAGGCTTAGGTTTTTGTGCACGGTCCCATGGGTTCCCGTGTCTTCTCTGTACTTTTTCTGTTGACTTCCCTCAGGAAAAATTGTGTAGTTAATAGCTATGTATGAATTTTCATCTTGAACTTTTTCTGACTTCTATCCTCCAGCATATTAAGCTAGTCTGCAGTCTTCTCAGAAGAGCAGAGTAGACCCATCAAACTATTTTGTCTGGCTGTGTCCCAGAACAATCCTGAAGCACTGTCAGCCAGGTTGCTATCAGAAAAAAAATCTTGCCTGATAGGGATTTTGCCACGTTGGCAGAATCCCAAAGACAATCCTACTGACCACTTCACTAATAACTGCTCTGAACATATAATATTAATTTTTCATGAGCCTTCCATAAGAGTTACATGAAGAATTTGCCTAGGAGGAGTGTTTGTGTTTGCAACAGGTATAATTAAGAGGATTAGTAGCAAAATTTAGTGGATTATAAAGTCACAAGAAACTCAAAGTTTTACTTGCTAGTCTTATGAAATAAAACAAGAATAAATGTAATAGAAGAATATGGTAGAAAATGCAGTTGCAGAAGAAAATTGTGTTTGTTCTTATCTAAAAACTTTGTGTACCTGCAGTCCAATGTCCAGATCAGCAGATGTTCATCTCTGCAGTTGCTTCAGTTTTAATCCACGAATGACCTGAAATCCTGCTTTATTCACAGCAAATATCCATAAAATTTCATTTTATTAGAATGATGAGTAATGCTGTCAGTAAGGACTTATCTTTGTACAAATCTTTGTGTATGTGTCCTTAGATGTAGCAAATATTTATGTCAGGATGACCATCCAGGAAACTGCTAAAGTTATTAAGTAGAACACTTAATCACAATGCAATGACTAAACTTGCATTTGAATATAGAAGCATCTTGAAAAATCAAGGAATCATAGAGTAGCCTGAGTTGAAAAGGACCTTAAAGATCATCTAGTTTCAATCCCTCAGTTGTGGACAGGGTTGATAACCACTAGACCAGGCTGCCCAGAGCCCCGTTCAGCCTTGCCTTAAAGATGTAGTTAAATAGTATGTCTAGCTAACCTTCAGGTAGGGAGATCAGCCCCATCTTTAGCTATTTCTAGGCTGGAGACTGAATCGGGCTAGTGGCCAAATGACAGTATAATACAACAGCGTTGAGAAAATCCTGGGCTATGATATTTTTGTGGAAGACCACCAAGCGCTCAACCTTGCACAACTTTGCAATAAGTCAGTTTCCCATCTCTGTCGTCTGTGTGTGTGAGATTGGATTACTGCACACCAGGTAATGGATCTGCCTTTTGGACAACAGTAGTGCATTACTGCTATGCTGTTTTTTTTTTTTTTTTTTTTTTTTTTTTTTTTTTAATTTAGTAATGGAACAAAACACATATTTTTGATGTTTTATTATGTATTTTAATATTTAAATATTCAGTGAACCTTTATTTTTGGACTGTGCACTGTGGCTTAATATATCAGCAAATATATAACAGCACAGTGATTAATATTGAGATATTAACCTATTTTTATGTGAAAAATTTCTTATTAAGGGTGTAAGCTACAAACTGAGGATTTTGCCTGAGTACTGTGAATTGGCTGTAAAATTCTAATTGTCAGTAATCTGTCAACCCTTCCTCAACCCACATACCATGAGAAGTCATACCCATCTCTAAGATTACAATAGATTTACATTATTAAGATAAATCAAAGTAATTTTTTTTTTTTTTCTGTGTAGGACTAGGGGAGTTACTGAGGTCACTGGACACTCAGATAATTGTAATTATCTAATTTACATATTTACATATTCAAGATTTCAGCCTCTCTCTCAATTTGGAAAGGTGAATATCTATTTCACCTGAAAGAGTGGTTGAGCCAAAAGCTTCTAACTCCAAACAGTTTCGGGGGAATGCAAAAAGCTTTTTATTGATCTCATGTTTTTATAACATCTTTATTTTAGTCTGGAAGACCAAAAAGTAACAGGAGGATGGATCCAAGGAGAAAATGGGAAGTTCATGGGGAAATTCTAATGAAAACATAGAACTCTTTATCAAAGATGTTAAAGTTTGTTACATCACAAATATTGTACACAAGCCAAGGCTTTTTCCTTTAAAAGCTGAAACTAGAGAAGGGTGGAAGTAACCCAGACACAGAGGGGCTGGTACACTTTTAGGATTTAGTGGGAGAAAGTAGCAATCTGTTCTTCTTATCTAGAAGAATAACCTATTTGATTCAAAAGTAAAAGTAACATAAAAAATTCTGAGAGGCAATGTCAGGTACAGATATACCTGTCTGATATGAAAGATGCAGAGATTTCACTAAAGTCCCTAAATGAGCTAAGATATTCTAGTCAGACCACCCAAAAACTGAAAATGACCTTTGTGCTCCAGGAACTTGATTGCTTTTCCTCCATCTGGTCTGAATAAAAGATACTACAATATACAAGAAATGTTATCTGTCTTGTATACCTAGCACTGCTGTAATCAGACTTCAACAATATGGAAAACATAATGAGATTTACTTGCAATAAAAGGGAATTTAGAGGGATAGCATGCTAAACTGAAGGCATAATCTGTTTTGAAAATAGTCAGAAACTGTTTTGCAGATAGCTTTTTTCTTTTTAATGACAATGAGATATGAAGATCTGTTTTAAGTTTTATAAAATCGCCTTTAAAATTTTTGAATTTGTACAGCCTTTAATGTTGGCATATCTGTCATTACGTAGTGAAACCAAAACTTCACTTCTGAAGGAGTAGATAGAGAGCTCTGAAGACAGTGGCATTATAAATCTGACAAATCCGGTAAGGTTGCTGTAGAACATTCAGAGGAGAACAACAAACCTGATAAAAGCACTGGAGGGCATTTCCGGTGAGGAGAGGCTTACGACACTTGGTTTGTCCAGTTTGAAAAGAGGATTCCAAGTGGTTTTCTGCAACTCCCTGAGGAGGGGAAGTGCAGAGGGAGGTGCCAGTCTCTCCCAGTCACCAATGGCAGAGCACGAGGGAATGATGTAAAGCTGCACCAGGGGAGGTTCAGAATGGAAATATTTCTTTACTATGATGGTGGTCAAACAATGGAACAGTTTTTTTAATGATCTGTTTAATGCCTCATTTCTGTCAGTATTCAAGAAGCATTTATATAATGCCCTCAATAACACGCTTTAACTTTTGGTTAGTCATGAAGAGGCCCAACAGTAGGAGTAAACAATCTTTGAAGGTCCCTTTCAAATGAACTGTTCTATGTTATTCTATTCTGAGGTATTTACAGATGAATCAGAGATGTACATTTCCGCAAAGGAGAGGAATGTAAGATTGTAAGACAACAGCAGACTAAGATAACTTTGAAGGCAGCTTAGCAATTTTACAGCTCATTGATTAAGAATTAAGTACTACTTCATACGTGATTTGGTAGTACATAGTTTGGATATGTACTTGTATGTGTCTGATGTTTTGTTGTTGCTAGCATTGGTTGCTTACGTACAAAGTGGTAGAATTTGTGCTTTATTTTTTATATTTTAAATCATGAAGTAAACATAGATTTTTTTTGTTTATTACAATGTGGAAATAACTGCAGAATTTTTGCCTTAGGTAATTTCTCTTCAGTAAAAAATGTTGACAGTCTCAGAGTGCTGAGGAAGATGAGAAAATAAATTGTTATATGTGTACATACATGTATATACACATAGGTATGTATAAATGATATACCACATGACAAAATGTTTGCAGGTGTTAGTTTTCTGTAGATTATTTGTCTGCACATTTTTAGAATCGTGATCAGCCTTCCTGTACTGTAAAGACAATAGATATGAGAGTCTACAAAGCTGGGTATCTACAGTGGGAAAAACTGCACTGTAACAACTAGTCAATATATTCTGCACTATTAAAAAAGACCATATTTAAAAAACCTGCTTGGGAAGAATTGATATTTAAACTCAAATATGCATAGAATGTTCTGCAAACAGACAACACTAACAGCTAAGCAAAAAGAACATGTTTTAAATATTGTAATCTTATATGACTTTTAGATATCATAAATTCATGATAGAGAAATATGTAACTATATTGTTCAATCATACAATTGATTTCCCAGTTGTTCACATGGCTTAGAAGTATTTTTATATGAATGTGTGGGAACTGCTGAATCACAGCCTGAACCTCTGATTGATCACCTGAGGTGAGCAATAAGTCAGCCCTGGGAGCACAGGTGAAGGCAATTCACCTGTGCTGCTGGAAGGGGTGGAGCCTGGCTGCACCTCTCCTAGACCCTTTTAAGAGCTGACTACGAGAGGTGAGGAATGTCTTTCTGGAGTTGCCTCCTTTTGGAGTCTTTTAGTGAGCCCAGGACAAGGGTAAGTCCTTTATCTATTCTTTTTGCTGTAATAGCCTGTTTAGTCAAAGTTCTGTTATTTATTAATTATAACATCTGTATGTTCATTAATTATTCAATGAGAAATTTGAAGAGCATTATGATAAACAAGTATGGTTTAGATTCTTTTGGAAGTTACCACGTTAGAACGAGATCAAGTGCCAACAAACCTGTAAGTATTACAACTGTGATTGGAATGAAAATGAAATAAATGTGATGTTATGTCTATGAAAATAACAAGGGAGGATCAGAGAAAGCTGCACTTATATTTTCCATAGTTTCTCCTAACTGTCATCCTGTACCCTTCTTTCCAACAAAAAATATGATAGTTATGAGAATGCGTATCATAAATCTGTATTCTAAGATAGAATGTATCTAGTTCAGTACACATTTTACTGCAGAGCTTAGAGAGATATTTGTTTTGTATCCACTTCTTCCCAACAGAATTAGAATGAATAAATGAGTAACAAATGAAAGGGGAAAAAAGATAGCTCAGCTCTTTCAAAACCTCCAGTCTAACAATTAAATAATCCAAAACAAGGATCAATCCTATTTCAATTTTTCCTATCTTACTTTGTTTTTTTTTTTTTTTTTACAGATTTCAAAGTTTTCATAGGCTTTTGTACTCTAAATACTTCAAGGATCAACAGCTCAAGTGGGAAAACTAAAAGGTTTTCTAGAGATATCAGTTACGTTAGTATCATTAGCATCAATGTAAGGTGCAAATATATGAGCTATCAGAAAACAAGGGACAGAAACTAATACTTGGATCAACATCCAGTAAGAAGTTGCAATGGTAGATAACATGCTGCAGGGAAATCATGGTCCTTTGTCCATAATTACAGTATGAGGTTGTAACTGTATTGGATGTAAATGAGAAAATATATAGCTTTCACTGTAAAGCCAGTTTGTTAAGGTTTGCCAGCATGGGCACAAAGATATACTCAATAAGATATTTGCTAAAGGATTTCAGTAACTCAACTTTATTAGCAGTTACTCTGAGCTTTGAAGCACCTAATATTTTCCTTATGTTATGTCACTAGAATTCTAAGGGTCACTGGGATTTCTGTGACCCACAGATGTGTTAACAGATCCTCACTGGAGCTGACAATGTAAAATTAGAGGTATGTAGAACAGAATGTAAAATCCATCTCAAACAAACTAGTTTTGTTTACTGTGCTGACAGCTTCCAGCTGAGGTGGTAACACTAGAGTGGAAAAATTCCAGCGCTGTTAATGAAGATGAGGAACTAACACAAGAGGATTTTGGTTGGTGTTCCTATATTCAGGAATAAGGGTAAGGATAGAAAAAATCCGTAGAAAGAAAACATATATATTTTTTAAATTTTCAAGAGAGTCAACTTCCGTGGCTACAATGATTCAGAGATAACAAAATGTTCGCTTATTGTAATTGATTCTTCACTATCTTATGAGGAATAAAAGAGAACACAAGTCAGAATCAAGGACTGGAGTAATACAGCAATTTTTATGTATGTTTTTATGTATTTATGTGTTTTATATGTATATCACAGAATGGCTAGAATTGGAAGGGACCTCAAGGATCATGAATCTCCAAACCCCTGCTACATGCAGGGCCACCAACCTCCGTACTTAATATTAGGCCAGACTGCCCAAGACCTCATCCAATCTGGCCTCGAACACCTCCAGGGATGGGGCATCCACAACCTCTCTGGGCAACCTGTTCCAGCACCTCACCACTCTCTCTGAAAAGAACTTTCCCCTGACATCCAGCCTAAATCTTCCCTCCCTCAACTGAAAATTATTTCCCCTTGTCCTGTAGTTATAAACCCTTTCAAAGAGTTGATTTCCCCTCCTATTTATGGGCTCCCCTTAGGTACTGAAAGGCTGTAATTAGGTCACCCCGCAGCCTTCTTTTCTCCAGGCTGAACAAGGCCAGCTCCCTCAGCCTGTCTTTGTAGGGGAGGTGCTCTGCCCCTGATCATCTTTGTGGCTCTCCTCTGGACATGCATACTTTTGATTTGGCCTTCTGTAAACTTTTTGTATATAATCACTGCATCTTTGCTTTTTGAACAGAGTGGAAACATAGATACTTCATGGCAATCTGATATATGGATCTGCTATATACAGAAAAATAGAATTTTTTACATTTGCAAAAGTGAAATAGAAAAGCTTAAAAAATCAAAACCTTTTTTAGAAAAGAAGTTTGAAAGATTCTAAGATAAGTTAGGCACATATGGGGAAGAAAAGCTGAGGTATGGGGATATGTGGGTACTGTGATAAACTAGAAGCATTACAGGAAGTACTCATACTTACATCATTGCTTTGTTTGTGAAACCCATGTCTCTCCCTGTGTCAGGTCTTGAGCTGTGTCACAAAGGCAAGAACAACAGAAATAGTTAAGAAGATAACTTAAAGCTGAATTACTAACGTGTCTCATAGAGCTCTAATTGTGAAGAGGATTTCATTGTCACATGGTGAAGAAGTAATAGACATTACCCTGGGCATAATTTCAATAATTTTTTTACTTGTTTTACATTGTATCTTAAGTCAGTGAACTGGCTCACCTCTAATAGTATATTTGCAGCAGTGGCATGAGTTACTGACATCATTTATTTAGACAAGTATAAACCAGAAAAAAATCACAGTATAATAAATGCCTGTCAGCCTCATTGCCAATGTAGGAAGTAACATCATCACTAGATGTAGAAAGAATATTACAGAGACATCAAGACAGCAATATATATTGACATATGTATTAAACTTTCAATTTTCCATGGCAAAAAAAGTGAAACACAAGCAACTATAGTGTATATTAGTAAGCATGAAGTATTAAGAACAAGTTACTTATCTTCAAAAATTATTTTTATCTATGCTTGCGAATTATCAACTGTCTCATCTGGGTTTTTATTCAGAAAAGAGATTGACCTAGTGGTTATAACTCTTGTAGTTGGTTTTTGTGGGGAAAGTATTGTGGCAGATGAAAAGGATATTATATTTATTTCCATAGAGTTGTGGAAGTTGTTCTGAATGATAACTCTATTACTTAACAGCAGTAGAAAGAAAGAGTTGGTGTGAAATTTTCTCATATAAAGCATTTTCATGAAATGTGATAGCTTTTTCCGTGCACGTGTGTGTGTATGTATTGTATATGCAACTTCTGTAAGCAGAAAGGCAAGGCAGAAATAGCAGCTAGCCTATTCAGAAGTGGCAGCAGCAGGGAACTGTCATTCAGCTCTCATAGAAGAAAGAACTGAACTTTGTTATTCTACTCCCAGTGTAGCCATTAATGTCTCTGGACTATGGGATAAGTTTGTCTGCTTTAATTAGTATGTACTTCTTTAAATATATCAAATCTCACTAATTTTTTTTTAAGGGGAATAGAAAATAGTTTTCTTCACTCTGCAGAATAGTCAGCTAGTGAGTGGTTAAGGTAGTTAATGGAAGCATGAGGAAAAAATTGACATGAAGCTACTGATATATAGATACTGAAGACGAAACGTTTGACTTCCAACCTGTTTCAACAGAATTCCGACAGAATGAGAAGGACAAAATTTTCAGGATGTTCTGTAGGCTGAGAAAATGTTTCCCATTGATTTCTAAGAATAAATCTTTTGAACTATTCAAAATTATTGAAAACTATTCCTCTGAAACCAGTGTAAGCATTCTTATAACAACACGTATTGCTGGATGCTAATGCCAACATTTAATACAAATGTTCAGATTGGATTACAGTTCAGAGATTGAAAGGAAAGAAGTAAAGGAGAACTATTTCGCTTCTCAATCAGTGTGGAAGACAATGTAAAAGTAAAATTTGCTTGCTCTCACAAATTCAGGAAGAATGAAACCAGTCATTACAATTAGTTGTAGCTTGCTCAAGAAAGGGCAGTGAACCAAAAGCAGGATATAATATACTTAGATATAATTATAATATAATACTTGTAATATACTTATACTAGTTGTTTTACTCAACCAGGCAAATTCACTCAATTAAACAGTTAATTTCAGATAATCAATGGTAAGCATCTCTTCCTATAGCAACTTCAGTAGCTATGAGACTACTTTTACTTTGGGGCTTTTGTTTATAAGCCTTTAAGACTATGTGCATAGGAAGATTTAAACATTTTCATTAGATATCTGTATAATAGAGAGATATCAGGTTTCCTATTTAAAAACTCCTCAAACTCAAAGCACTGATCCAGAACAGATCATTCTACTTAAGCTGTAGAGATTTTAGAGATTCTAGAGATTTTTCAATTCCATTGTCGATGCCATTGATAAAGATGTTAAAGAGCACTGGTCCCAAGACAGATCCCTGGGGGATGCTGCTTGTTACTGGCCTCCACCTGGACATAGAACTATTAATCACCATCCTCTGTCTGTGGCCTTTCAACCAATTTCTTATCCATTGAGTGGTCCACCCATCAAATCCACAACCCTTCAATTTGGAGATAAGGATGTGGTGGGGGACCACATCGAAGGCCTTGCTCAAGTCTGGTATCTTTAGTCACACCCATAGAAACATATGTGTAACACTTCCCATGGAAACATAACTCTGATTCTTAAGATTCTCTTAATTACTTCTTTTCAAATCTGTTGTTATTATCCTGCTGTTCTTCCTTTTCCTTCACTTGAGTAGTTAAAAATATTAAAATACTGGAGAGAAGAGCAGGACTCATAAGCAAGGACTATCACTAGTGGACAGATTTGCGCTGGAATACATGTTGATGAAAAATTGTCAAGAATGTCTGCACAATTAGTGGCAGATGAAATTCACTATGGATAACTGTAATGGAGAAGTAATCATGAAATTACATATGAATTACATGTAAAGCTTTAAGCTGATTGTTCCATTCAGAAGCAAGATCCTGATGGAATAAAATTCTGTGAAAATATCAGCTTAGTGCACAGTTGCAGTTGAAAAAGAAAATCAAATATTATGACATACAGACTGTATAAAGAACGATAGAGGAAAAGACCATTGTAACACAGCAGAATCCCTAGTTTGCCCATATCTTGAACGCTGACACATGAGCATTCTCCATATTCTCATTTCTTCATCTCAAAAATATAGTAGTTCAACTAGAAAATGTTCAGAAAAAGTTAACAGAGATACATGACCAAAATCCAGGTCACTTCAATCTTGAAAAGAGATGACTCAGGGAGCATATAATACTAGGGAGGATAAGATAAAGGTCTACAGAATTATAAATGTCATTAGGAAATAGGTTATTATTAATTGTTTATGTTCCCTTCCAATGCAAGTAGTGAGAATAAATGGAACTTGTTAAACCTAGCTCAAAATTTATAACAGATGATTCTTTACATAGCTAAGAATAGCTCTGTACTACCAATTGTGGCAGCACTACATGGATGCTTAAAAGTAATAAGACTGCAGGCAAGAATAGACAAGGGCATAGAATAGCAATCCAAAGAGAATTGCTAAATGAGTGAGATAACTCTTGGTTTGGGAAAGCTTACTTGTAGTAGGATGTGAAGAATGCTTTATTGGAAACATCAAATACCCCTGTCTACAATTATTTCTTTGGTATCCTGGTAGCAATTACTGTGGAAAGACAGGGGACCAGGCAGACCCTTTATCTGATCCAGTAAGTAATTATTTTTCTTTGTTTTCTTAAGAAACACAATTATTTTGTTTTGTAGTTTGTTCTGTCTCAGTATTTTGAGTTTAGCTTACTAGACAGGAGGTCCTATGTATTTTGCTTGCCTCAAAACCTTCATTCACATCCAGAAATAGTCTAGTAAGGGGTGTGGTGGTACATATATATCTAGGCTATTCAAAGCATCTAGATTCAACAGGATTTAGAGAATCAGTACTAAGATGAGCAGACCCTGTAGTACATGCCTTAGCCTAAAGCAGCCAGTATTTCTCTGCCTCCCCTGCCAGGTCTGAGAGTGCTGAGGATGGTAGAGCTTTTTTCCATCCAGAAATATTTCTGGTCTCTTCCATGATATTTCAGTTTTCAAGGGAAGGAAACTGTGAGTGTACAGATTAAAAGGAATCAGAGAATACCAGGAGGTATCCTGTCATATGTCTCTTGCCCAATCAATGCATACATTTGGTTTCTGTATTCTTTTCCAAAAGATGTCTAAGAAGCTTCAGATCCATTAAAACCTAGATATGTTCTTTTCTTGATTGGTTCAAATGAAATCATATTGATATTTTCCATCCACCTAGCAGATATTTGCTATCAATGGCTGGCAGCACTAGTCATTAAAGACTGAATTTCTAGGCCTCGAGACATTCATTTTGACAAAATGTGAGGAGAGAATTGATTTAAGAGTTAGAAGTGTGAGTTATTGAGAAAAGTTCTGTTGGACTGGAGGCACTCCACATTAAGCTTAGAAAACATATGAGTAGCTGTGGCAAATATGAGGAGTTAGTACATCTCGTCTCATTCAGAATGCTTGCCTGTCTGTTTTTATGTTTATCATTTCTACTTCAGCATTTGTAAATCTTCTTAGAGCTCATTTGTTTGGCACACCTGTGACGTATGTCTGCTCAGTGTTCAGTTCATAAAACTGCTTCTGTACTGGGTTAGTGATATAATACCAGTGAGTTTATGTCTTGCTATCAGTTTTATGTTTTAAGCACACAACATTCATCAAAGGACTTCTACATATTTTTAGGCATGTAGAGATTTTACCACATTTTTGGAATTAATTGAGTTTGTCCTTATTTTGTCTACACAGATTCAGAGAAGGTTAAATATCAGTTTAACATACTATCCCTTCAAAGTGCTTTTACTCACTGCCATTGGCAGAGGTCCCATAGCATTCCTTTTTTCCCTACCTATTGTTTGGGAATCCTTTCCTGTACAGAAGCAGGATTGTTGAAAAATCACGTTCACACAAATTATTTTTAGGCTAATATGCAGAGTAGATTGAATGTGCTAATGTGATAAGCTAAGTACAAGTTGTATGTTTGCCACCTCTAATGTAGGCACTGGATAAGTTGCTGTATGCAGATGGCAGCAGCCAAGTGAGGAAGGTTAGCTTTCTTGCACTTGATACTGTCTGATCTTCACTCCTGCGAGTTGCTGTCATCCAATTTCTTTCTACTTTACTACGACTTTTTTTGCTTTTTTACAGTTATATCTTTTCCTAAAGTCCTTGACTATTACACAGAATCACAGAATCACAAGGTTGGAAACGACCTGCAAGATCATCTAGTCCAACCACCCTCCCATTCCTATCAGTGCCACAAGCTACTAAACCATCTCTCGTAGCTCCTCATCCAGACGCCTCTTGAACACTGCCAGGGATGGCGACTCCACCACCTCCCTGGGCAGGCCATTCCAGTGCCTGACCACCCTCTGAGAGAAAAAGTTTCTCCTAATATCCAACCTAAACCTCCTCTGGTATAACTTCTTGCCATTTCCTCGGGTCCTACTATTTGCCTGGGAGAAGAGGCCAGACCCTTTTGCAAAACAACCTCCCTTCAGGAAGTTGTAGAGTGCAATGAGGTCTCCCCTGAGCCTCCTCTTCTCCAGACTGAACAATCCCAGCTCCTTCAGCCGCTCCTCATAAGACTTGTGCTCCAGACCCCTCACCAGTTTCATTGCCCTTCTCTGGACACGCTCCAGGGCCTCAATGTCTTTCTTGTAGTGAGGGGCCCAAAACTGAACACAGTACTCGAGGTGCAGCCTCACCAGTGCTGAGTACAGGGGGATGATCACCTCCCTGCTCCTGCTGGCCACACTATTTCTAATGCAGGCCAGGATGCCGTTGGCCCTCTTGGCCACTTGGGCACA